TCCTTACCTGTAAATACCACAATGCTACTAAATTACTAGTCTGCCTCATCGGACCTTAACCTTATTTTTTTCCGCCTAGCCCTTACTGTAACGATATAGCCCTAAAATGAAGCAAGTCTACAATTTTCCGAAGCTGAATCTCTCATCTCAGTTTGGATCTTTTTCAATTTATTGGAGTTATTGGTTTCTATCAAAATTATGTTGTTGTTTTTGTTTTTGTTTATTGTATGCGCCTAACCCATAAGTGCCATCATTTATAATGTTTAATGAATTGCCTAAATGGGCTGAAGCCCGAAATGTATATAGATGGTTACCATATTGATCGTAATTCAAAGGATGACTGTTTTTTTTTTAGTGAATAGACACTGACCCACACCATCAGTGCCATAACGTAAACAACTCGGACCTGCTCGCCCCTGCCTGTTTTACTAGAGCAGGAGAACAACTGATAAGATCAGGGTTCATGAGTATCAGGTTCAGTGAGAAAATATGGGGGGGGGGGGGGGGGGGGGGGGGGTTGCTGGCCGGCTTGTGCCACAAAGTGTGTTGTGAGTAACTTGCGAAACCCTGCATTGGAGTGTGGTATACTGCCTCTTCCACACGTGTATTGTCGCCCGGGGGATGGTGGAAACTTTCTGATCTATTTGTAAATTTTCCCTGTTGGGTGAAACGGCCACCACTGCCATTGTGGTTTTCCCTGGATTATGACTGTTATTCTGAGGACAGTAAAATGTTGACTGTATGTGTCTCTAGGGCTCTAGGTAGGTGTGTGTGTGTTGTGGTGTTTGGGCACGAAGGTACTGGCTCAAATTAACAACATTTACTGGTTGGAGTGAAGATTGTCGCGAATTAGTGGCTAATCCACCTGTTCACTCAGTAAGTGAATTGCATGCTTACTTTTGACTCAAACTGAGGGGACCCGGCAGGGTAAGCTATGTTCTAAATAACTTTAGCAAGTGTAGAATATCGTCGAGTAATCACAAATATTTTTACATTCTGAGATGCATTTCCAAGAACAAGATCCCTGATACAATCATCCTTGTTTCAACTAATTATAGCCGTTTGATGTCTGACCACTTGTAAAAAGTAAGTAAATGGCTCAAACGTTTGTTGGTTCATGTCAGTAAGGTCATTGGCACTACTGAGCGCAATGATTGAGTTCGAGGAATTTCATTGGGAGATGTTTTCTTCAAGATTTGCTAGGAGCAATTATCTCTCAATTACCTCGCCAAGCCGTGCGAGGCCGGTGACGATCCCGTTCACCGAGGGCCTGAAATGTGTACTGGCACCATGAGACTGGTATGCTACCGGAGTGCTTATTATAGGTGCTGGGCTCACTAGCTCAGTTGGAACGACCTTACAACTCGTGAGTGGCATAGAAAATAAAGCCGAACCACGTCGACACTGTTGATCGACTGTTGTACCGTTATTGTTTGTGTCTTGTGTTAGTGGTATGATCATGTTCAAGGATCTCGTTCTTTTACAATATGTATTCAACACAATGCATCAAAATATTGCTTACCTAACCAGGCCCGGTCCAATGAAACTTTGCACCACACATAATGTTAAAATGTCACAATTGTTAGTTCTGTCCATCACTTCCTGGTACGTCACTCCACCACTGGGTCCAGGTGTAACCATCCACTCGTCTCTCCCAACGCCCCTCCATTGTAAACCCGGAGTGGTCCGTGGATGTGCAACCGTCTGCACCGTTCCGGATGTGCACCGTTCCGGATGTGCAAACGTCTGCACCGTTCCTCCCAACGACTGTAATCTCCCTCACAGTGGAAGGTGGAAGTTCTCGTGCAACCGCTGCACCACGTCTCTTCACTTGTGCGACCGCCGCACAGTTCCACTTTACTTGCGCAACCGCTGCGCAACGTTACCTTGCTTGTGCAACCACTGCACGCCGTCACCTGACAATGCTTTTTGGCAGTCGTCAGGGAAGATCGTACCCCGCATCTGTTCACCACGTATCCAAGGTATTTTTAAGATGGTAAAATACGGTAATTGTTGTTGATTACCAGGATGGCAATTCGAGTACTTCTTCGACCTAACCACGGTAATCCCCTCGTTTCTGGTGCTGACGCTCGGGGACGAGCGAAAGGTACAATGTCAGTACCCGAGGGCCTTGGATTTATTACCGTAGTTACTCCAACAACTACAAAGAGTGATCTTCGTTCAACAGCTTTTATTCACTCTAGTGTTGTTGGTCAACCCACTCTATGGTCACTTGATAATTACGGGACTTCGGCCGCGAGGCTTCAATCCCTAGTCAAAATACTGGAGGTTTGTATGTTTCTTTTCGAATATTAGAACGCGACCACAGTGTTCAAGTGGGATCCTCCAGCCGTCCTGAACCTCCCGTTTCCTTGTCTTTTTAAACCGGTACCTACGTCACAGCTCTACTCATTTTTCCATGTATCATTGTCAACCACCTTTCCCCCCTACACTAGATCATTCTAACCCACTCTTGACTAACCTCAAGGTCCTTTTTAGGACGTGGTAATGTGACCACCTCAACCCCCGGAATCTGGACTATTCACCCCCAAAACCATATATGAACCCGAGGGCAATTTCCTCTACGTTTCCTCTCCCAATCTATTTTGTCTCTGGCAAACTGCACATTCCCTTGCTATGTTACTTTTATTGTTTTGCTCTAGTACTCCGACCCTCGACTGTCACCCCTGGTTATGAGTGGCCCAGTATGTTTCCTGTGCTCTTCAACTCCAACATCGACTGCCCTCACTATATCTTCCCATGTGTTATACCTATATCTTACTGTTTTAGCCCCTCATATTGCCTACTTATATACTTACTGTAGCTGTCTTAATTAGTTGCTAATTACCATTATTTCATGCCTATAATACATGTGCGTTTCCTCTTTCGAAGAGTGTACTTCAAGTACCTATGGAAACATCATTTTTGACATCATCATTGCATGATTGGAATGTAGTGGATGGCACTTTAAAATGTACCGAATTGTTATCACAATCACGTAAAAATATTATCAGCAGTGTACGAACTTTATTTCAGTGTTATGGAACTGGAAAATGCCAAATCATAGAATGTAAAATGAGACTGAATTGTAGTGACCTAAATGCACATAAGTTTGATCGTTTTATTGTCAATGACCGCCTCCGGGTTCGATTCCCAGCCGCGTCATACCAAAATATGGTACTTGTTGTTACCCTGTCTGGCGCTCGGCATTAAGGGCTAAATGGTCGGCTCGGAGTCAGTACACTGTGTCTGAGTGGGGTATTCATGTTAAACTGTTATTCATGTATCTCAGTGAACTAGCACTATAAATCGGCATCTGTCGTACAAGCAGCCACTCAGTTCATCCTCAGAAGCAAATATTAACTTATAGAATATGAATATTTTACCCCAAAAAACTAAAAAAGCCTTTAATGTATATTAGACATTTCTTGTGCATTTTTATTTTTTTGATATTGAACCTTTTATCATCCACTGTGTGTTGTGATATTTTATGTAAGTATGTTTATATCCGAGCACTCGAAATAGGCAATGTGGCTGAAGACCGATCCGTTTTGACGAAAAGAAAATATTGTTTAGACCACATGCATAAGTACCGTCACGAAAGTGATGAGCGGTACTCCTTTGTTCTCGCCTGGTACCGGGAGCATCAAATCCCGTGTCAATGAACCATGTGTGAGCCCTTAGTATAATAGTCCCGGGGACGTCAAGAGGAGTTTTCCTCCTATAAAATAGCAAACGTGGCGCTCCCAGGCCGACACCCTAGGAGCTATAGCCCCACAATGCACATACTGGTCTCTGTGCTCTGTTGCGTTGCAAAGAATTAAGTCTGTTGATATATATATTTATTTTTTTTTATTTATTTATTTTTTTTAAAAAATATTTTTATTCAGTCATATACACAGAATACATATGCACTCGGAAAGCAATACAGCTTTATGAATACAGGTACTTCTCAAAGGGATATGGTACAGAGGAGGCCTAAGGCATAATCCATATCATGGTACAGATGAAGGCATAATCCACATCATGGAATAGATGAAGGCATATTTATGTATACAATTAATAAGATGCAGTATTTATGGTACATCAAATTATGTTGCAAACATCCAAGTGAATAAGTTATTTTACAGTTTGAGTAAACAAAGCCCATTTTCTATTAAAGGCAGAGAAGTCGTTATTTCTACGTGCAATATGATATTCAACGTCATAAATACTTCTTATTGTGTTCTTAAAAGCAACAAAGTCAACCTTTTCATTCTTAATACACTGGACAAAGATCTGGTCTGCTGATATTGGGTTTGTTGAATCCCGTATTCGTCATGATTGTGATCCTTAGTTTTTCATCACCGTAACGACACCCCTAAACCTCTACTACCCACATCACGTCGGTGTTTCCTCCCACATCAACTATCAACAGGTTGAACACAACTGAAATTGTATTTAATGGCTTCTTAATTTTTAATTTCATTGGCTTCCTCGTTATATTGTTATCTGTCATCTTGTATAAGTGAGTGAGTGAGTTGGGTTTAACGCCGCTTTTAACAGTATTCCCGTTATATCACAGCGTGTCAGTTTAATGTGGAAGGAAAGCCCGAAGTGATGCAGGTCTCAGACGTTTACCACTTCGGTGAAACCAAGGAGCACGGGTATGGTGCTGACAAACCTAGAAACATAAAGAACCGGGATTCGAACCCACAATAATAGGTTTCTGGCGTCCCCAGGGGACGCAACTCTACACAGCGAATCGCGGCGCCTTAGACGACCACCCGTGCCCCCTCATCTTGTATAAACATATATTCATGTGTACATATTAACTCAATACAGCTACTGAGTATTCACCTGATGGAGGGGCAGGTGGAAGCCCTGAAAGGTCGTTACAAAGAATAAAGAAGTTGTTATCCAAACAAAGTTACTTGTCCTCATGAAATGACAACCCCTGAACCCAACTAACTCACCATAAATCGGGATTGTCATATATTTCGTTGACATTAATCAACGAAAATTTTAAAATTTCATCCTTTCATGTTGAGGAGATTCCTAATCTCTCACACAAAATGTACACAACGACGTGAAGAAATACACTGTATTTCACTAACATAGCACAACACACGTGTTCACCATTTACGAACATTAAAAACAGAATACATAAATCATGGGCGTGTATAACAATTATAGCTTTACGTATACAATACTTAACAATGGAATAAACACGAAATTAACTATCAACAAGAAATTGAACAAACGTAGCATATCAATTCGGGAATAAATTGTACAAAAGAACGATGCATTCTTTTTGTCCAAAACAAGAACTGAAACTCGCGAAATCGTGTCCACCGGAAATGCTCTTCAAAAGGTCAACAACAGCTAACAACACATGGCCCGAGTCTTCTGTGATCAACAAGAAATAGAACAAACGTAGCATATCAATTCGGGAATAAATTGTACAAAAGAACGATGCATTCTTTTTGTCCAAAACAAGAACTAAAACTCGCGAAATCGTGTCCACCGGAAATGCTCTACAAAAGGTCAACAACACAAGACCCGAGTCTTCTGCAGCACATGTACTGGGCACCCGGTGTCCCACCCGGATCAGTACCCGTACCGTTGCATGGGCTCACAGCTGTCTACTGCTTCCTTCCCCTTGTAGTAGCAGCTTGTCAGCGGTTCTACATCGTCCTCTGGAAATACACGGGAGTCATTGTCACTGCATGTATGTTATAGCATGAAAGCTTTAAAACGTGGGCCGGACAAGCAACTCTCCATACGTTCCTGCCATACGTTTAGTTCTCAGCATATAATAATAGCAGTGTTTCTTGAACATAAAACGTTATGGTCAGTGAATATCCAATCTTCGTTATCCGCCGAAACAGATTCCTTTGGACGTAAAATTAATTTGGTGGTGAAAATTATATGAATGGATCACTGAAAATCAGTGATGACACCAGGTGTTCGAGAAAATGGTAAGCATGCCCTGCTTCATCGGAAGCACCAGCCACTCGCACTGTTTGCATAATGAGTTTGTTGCCTGGCACCTCCAAGCGGTACACGTGAAGAAATTAATTTTAATGATCCAATACACGACTGGGAATTATTAATTGACCATTCATCTGACAAGGCCTAATATCCATTTCCTTGCAATCCCTTTGGACATTTTAATTCGAAATAAGTGGAGTTTACAAATATGGTTATAAACTAAGTGAAATCAATGAAAAATAAAGCTCTGTGATAAATTTCTGCGGATTTGTCTTATAAATAAGGGAGGTGTAAGATAAACGCGTCTCGAAAACAATCGAGAGTGGTCGATGTTTGTTTGTTTGTGTGTTTGTTGTTTAACGCCACCCAGCAATATTCCAGCTATATGACGGCGGGCTGTAAATAATCGAGTCTGGACCAGGCAAACTGGTGGTGGATATTATGGCTCAACATCTTACGCAATGAAGCTGGTCATCGGAACTGACCCATTGCATTTAGTTGCCTTGAACGACCAGTATAGGGGGCAATATGCACAACTGTGTAAATATATACGTGGTCAGTGTGAAGAATGACCGATGAAGTTCCATCTTCGAACACTCCTTCCCGTAGCTGCGAAATCGTTGCTGTGTTACTATCCGACATGTGGGCGGTCGGGTAGCTTAGTGGTTAAAGCGTTCGCTCGTCACGCCGAAGACCCGGGTTCGATTCCCGACATGGGTAAAATGTGTGAAGCCCATTTCTGGTGTCCCCCGCCGTGATATTGCTGGAATATTGCTAAAAGCGACGTAAAAACCAAACGCACTCAATCACTATCCGACATGCACTGTTCGCTAATACATTACTATTGTTCAGCGACCAGTGCATTCGGATGGTAAAAGTGGAGCAATACATAGACACGACTGAACAGCTAAGCTCACTTTGGTGTAAAACAACATTCACTCACAATCATGAGTGATTGCACATCAGTCCTTGTTCCCGAGTCTGTCAAGAAACACGTGAACAATGCTCACCGAAATCCTCCACGACAGAATCACAGTTCCACTGGGCGTTGAGTTCTACCATCTCGTCTGACGCCTCGAACCCCCTGTTGCTTCTCTCCTCCCATCTCTTCACGACCCTGTTCTCATCAATCACCGCCCACTTCCACTGATGTCGTGTCCCCTTCTCCACCACGGCCCGGGCCACCCACCACCCCGACCCCAGGGGGTACTCAACAGCCACCACCCCACAGAATGGATTCCACTCTCCAAGGGACGGAGTGGAGCCCAACAGTGCCAAGGCATCCGAAGGGGTGTCGGTCTTGTAGTTTGTTGCAGCGAAGAGGAGGCATTCAGCCTGCTGGAATTTCCCCGGGCTGTTCCAGTCACAATCCACCGTTCCCCCGATAACCCCAAGTTCGAGTCTTCTGTTAGGGCATAGCTCCCAATCAACACGGCCTTCATTTCCAGTAACCATCGCCCATTTCCATTCATGGAAGGAATACACAGGGAGGCGTTTTTCCACCGACCAGAAATCCAGTTTCTTTAGGAATCTTGCTCTGGTTCCGTTTTCAAGTTTCCAGAGCCCCAAATCTGGACTGCTGCCCAGAAGCACTGGGACAATGTCGCCTCTGTTCTCAACATTCCACAGTCTGAACTCAACATATACTAGCGATTTTTCCGTCATTCTGCGAAGTGTATAAACAGCTGATTGCCTTCCACGATCTATGCCGAGGCCACAGTCTGTGACGTCATCACATTGTGACGTCATTCAATGGACCTCAGAATAGCTGAACGTGAGATTGGCCAACTTGTCCAGGTTTGACGGAAATAGCCGAACGTGAAAATGCCACGCCGTGGTCTGAGCAAAATTAGCAGATGTAATGGCGAGTCGTGCAATAAGAATTAAGTATTCGTATTATGGCTGCATCTTAACTATGTCCTAATAGGACTTAACCTAAAAGTACTATAATCTGTACTTTACTAAGAGGTGAGGTGAAATTGGGTTAACGTCGCGTCAAAGATTATATAGCGATGTGCATGCACCTGTGTGTGTGTGTGTGTGTGTGTGTGTGTGTGTGTGTGTGGCTGCTTGTACTAGTCCGGACTGATGCCGATATATAGTGCTAGCCCACTGAGATACCATGCCGCAGTTTAACATGAATATACCACTCAGACAGTATACTGACTCCGAGCCGACCAGTCCTTGTTTTAGCCCCTTAATGCCGAGCGCCAGACAGGGTAACACCAAGTACCATCTTTTAACGTCTTTTGGTATGACGCGGCCGGGGATCGAACCCCGGACCTTCTCTACCACTAGACCACGAAGGCGGTCACTTTACTAAGAAAGTGTTATCCCAAATATAACATTCCTTATGTGCGGCTTAGTTTGAACTATCTGACATCTTCTGCATTGTCACTTATACATAATTATGGTGCACGGGACTTCACAAACGCCCTCAATGTACGAGATAAAGACACGCACGCACGCACGCACGCACGCACGCACACCATTTCCAAAACCATTCCCTTTAAATGTTTGGTGAGTACTGAAATATAATTTTTGTTTGGAGAGAGAATTTTGTTAAGGCTTCATACAAGCAAATCATTTTCCTATGAAAGGGGGAGCCGACATTGTTTTCAGGACATCCAGCCTTTCGGCCAACCTCGTCCCTTTCCGTAGCCACAAAGAAGGTCAAATTTCACCGGAAATAGCCGATTGGGTTCAGATAAGAAATTCAGCAAGTCCAACGAACAGTGTCATGTTATTTGGGTAAAACTTGAGGACAATTTTGTTTCAAAAGAATTCCTCAAAGTTTCGAAAAAGTCTATATTAAAGTATGGCAGCTACAAGTACCGTGTCGTCAAAATGTCGCTTTGTGTGATGTATCCATTGTTTAGTGTCATTCTGAAAATTGGGGTTTTAATGCAGACAGTGAATTAGAAATTAGTTGTAAACACGCATTTAAGATGACAAGAAACACACACACACACACACACACACACACACACACACACACACACACACACACACACACACACACACACAAAAACATATTCCGTAAAAATACCTAATAATTATTGCACGACTCGCCATTGCATCTGCTAAATCTGCTTTGGCCACGGCGTCTGAGCATTGTCACCTTCGGCTATTTCCGTCAAGCCTGGGGGGTGCCGTTGTGCAAAGCGATCTTAGCGCTAAGGTGATCGTAACTCCCATACCTTAACATAGACTTACGACAGTCGTAGCGCTAAGGTTGTTTTGTACAAGGGCACCCTGGACTGGTTAGTGTCGTAGGTCCTTGGACGTCACAGACTGTGGCCTAGTCATAGATCCTGGCAATCTTATTAAAATCAAATCTTAGTTCTCGCTTCCACTAAACAAAGATCTGAGGACATCCAATTACGAGTCACGTTAGACCGACCTTGCACGAACTTTGACCGGCCAATGGATTGACCAATCAGAAGGGAGTTTTCTCGTGCTTTACGGCACTAATTTCAAATTGGCGACTACGCTTCGAAACATATTTTGACAAATTCTCGATTACAAATTTGAAACCTGAACAAAAGAACATTCTGGAATGGCTAATAGATGGTATGGATTCTGTTGTTTCACCCTAACTATCGTTCAGAATACCCCGTGTTAAAGTTTTCGAGGTTGCATGATTAGAAATGACATTCCGACTGTCATTTCATAATCTGGTAAGCGAAGCTCTGATTAGTCGGATGAAAGGTCGTTCTGACGTGACCCCCAATGGGATGTCTTTAGATCTTTATTTAACGGCAGCGAGAACTAAGGTCTGATTTTAATGAGATTGAGATCCTTGAAGGCAATCAGCTGTTTATACACTTGGCAGAATGACGGAAAAATCGCTAGTATATGTTGAGTTCCGACTGTGGAATGTTGAGAACAGAGGCGACATTGTCCCAGTGCTTCTGGGCAGCAGTCCAGATTTAGGGCTCTGGAAACTTGAAAACGGAACCAGAGCAAGATTCCTAAAGAAATGGAATGGAAATGGGCGATGGTTACTGGAAATGAAGGCCAAATTGTTTGGGAGCTATGCCCTAACAGAAGACTCGAACTAGGGGTTATCGAGGGAACGGTGGATTGTGACTGGAACAGCCCGGGGAAATTCCAGCAGGCTGAATGCCTCCTCTTCGCTGCAACGAAAAAGGCCGACACCCCTTCGGATGCCTTGGCACTGTTGGGCTCCACTCCCTCCCTATGGGATAGAATTATCATTAAACCGCCCGCACGTTATCAGAAATGAGCGGGCCACTGTAACTTGATAATGCCCTCATATTGCTTGACGACGGGCCATTATCACGCCCATTGTTAGATGACGTCATAGGATAGGGATAGGTGACGTCACGTTGAACAGTGACGTCATCTGGTTTGTTCTATGACATTTCCATATTTGTAAAAGTGGGTCAGTGACATGTTTCAAAAGTACATGTTTCAAAACCGATGTTGTTGTTTCTTTTTATTTGATAACAAATTCCATCCATTTCAGCCATGGTAACGGTAACGCTATTTTTAAGGGCATTGTCATTTGCAGAAGCCCTTCGTCGGGAATTTAATGGAAGACTTCGGGCTTCTGTAAATGATAATGCCCTGAAACAAAGCGTTACCCATATATTATATGTGGATAACTAAACGGCAGGACGTACGGAGAGTTGCTTTTCCGGGCCACGTTTTAAAGTATGGTGTTTCATGCTATATAGATAATCTGATCAGAGTGTCTTTTGATATCAAATATATCAACGAGTGTTGATATATTTGATATCAAAAGACACGAGGGTGAGATTTTATTTATCATCCAAAATCATTCTTCAACTTTTTCATTTTTTAGACAGTAAGAAGCAGTTTCTAAGTGTAAAAAGTACCGCTAACAGCTTTAGTAGCACAGCCATTAGTGATGTCATTTCATTGTGACGTCATGGTAACAATGACGTCACAGTGGTCAGCAAAGCATTGTGATGCAATGTCATTGCAGCGATCACCCAAGTAATATCCCTTACATAGCCAGTTTGGTATGTCTTCTAATGATAAAACACACAAGCAGGGACACAGACACTGACTTGCTTGTCCGGCCCACGTTTTAAAGCTTTCATGCTATAACATACATGCAGTGACAATGACTCCCGTGCATTTCCAGAGGGCGATGTAGAACCGCTGACAAGCTGCTACCACAAGGGGAAGGAAGCAGTAGACAGCTGTGAGCCCATGCAACGGTACGGGTACTGATCCGGGCGGGACACCGGGTACCCAGTACACGTGCTGCAAACGACTCGGGCCATGTGTTGTTAGCTGTTGTTGACCTTTTGAAGAGCATTCCCGGTGGACACGATTTCGCGAGTTTTAGTTCTTGTTTTGGACAAAAGGAATGCATCGTTCTTTTGTACAATTTATTCCCGAATTGATATGCTACGTTTGTTCTATTTCTTGTTGATCGTTAATGTCGTGTTTATTCCAATGTTAAGTATTGTATATGAAAAAATATAATTGTTATACACCCCCATGATTTATGGATTCTGTTTTTTAATGTTCGTAAATGGTGAACACGTGTGTTGTGCTATGTACGTGGAATACGTTGTATTTCTTCACCTCGTTGTTTTCATTTTGTTTGAGAGATTAGGAATCTCCTCAACATGAAAGGATGAAATTTGAGACACAATTTCTAACACTTCACATTGGTACACATAAGTGGCCCACACTTCACATTGATACACACACGTGGCTCACACTTCACATTGATACACACAAGTGGCTCACACTTCACTCTGATACACACGTGTCTCACACTTCACATTGATACACACAAGTGGCTCACACTTCACATTGGTACTCACAAGTGGCTCACACTTCACACTGATAAACACAAGTGGCTCCCACTTGACGCTGATACACACAAGTGGCTCACACTTAACATTGATACACACAAGTGGCTCACACTTCACACTGATACACACAAGTGGCTCACACTTCACTCTGATACACACGTGTCTCACACTTCACATTGATACATACAAGTGGCTCACACTTCACATTGATACACACAAGTGGCTCACACTACACTCTGATACACACGTGTCTCACACTTCACACAGATACACACACGTGGCTCACACTTCACATTGGTACACACAAGTGGCTCACACTTCACTCTGATACACACACGTGGCTCACACTTCACATTGATACACACAAGTGGCTCACACTTCACTCTGATACACACAAGTGACTCACACTTCACTCTGATACACACACGTGGCTCACACTTCACATTGGTACACACAAGTGGCTCACACTTCACACTGATAAACACAAGTGGCTCCCACTTCACACTGATACACACAAGTGGCTCACACTTCACTCTGATACACACACGTGGCTCACACTTCACATTGATACACACAAGTGGCTCACACTTCACACTGATAAACACAAGTGGCTCCCACTTCACACTGATACACACAAGTGGCTCACACTTCACTCTGATACACACACGTGGCTCACACTTCACATTGATACACACAAGTGGCTCACACTTCACTCTGATACACACAAGTGACTCAAACTTCACTCTGATACACACACGTGGCTCACACTTCACATTGGTACACACAAGTGGCTCACACTTCACACTGATAAACACAAGTGGCTCCCACTTCACACTGATACACACAAGTGGATCACACTTGACGCTGATACACACAAGTGGTTCCCACTTGACGCTGATACACACATGGCTCACTTCACACTGATACATACAAGTGGCTCACACTTCAAACTGATACACACAAATAGGCTCACACTTCACACAGATACACACAAGTGGCTCCCACTTCACACTGATCCATACAAGTGGCTCCCACTTGACACTGATCCACACAAGTGTGGATGAGTGTGGTCTTATGGCGTGGATGAGTGTGGTCCTATGGTTTGGATCAGTGTTTTTCTATGGGGTGGATCAGTGTGGTTCTATGGTGTGGATCAGTGTGGTCCTATGGTGTGGATCAGTGTGGTCCTATGGTGTGGATCCGTGTTTTCCTATGGTGTGGATCAGTGTGGTTCTATGGTGTGGATCAGTGTGGTCCTATGGTGTGCCTCAGTGTGGTCCTAAGGTGTGGATCAGTGTGGTCCTATGGTGTGGATCAGTGTGGTCCTATGGTGTGGTTCAGTGTTTTCCTATGGTGTGGATGAGTGTGGTCCTATGGTGTGGATGAGTGTGGTCTATGGTGTGACTCAGTGTGGTCCTATGGTGTGACTCAGTGTGGTCCTATGGTGTGACTCAGTGTGGTCCTATGGTGTGACTCAGTGTGGTCCTATGGTGTGACTCAGTGTGGTCCTATGGTGTGACTCAGTGTGGTCCTAAGGTGTGGATGAGTGTGGTTCTATGGTGTGGATGAGTGTGGTCCTATGGTGTGGATGAGTGTGGTCCTATGGTGTGGATGAGTGTGGTCCTATGGTGTGGATGAGTGTGGTCCTATGGTGTGGATGAGTGTGGTCCTATGGTGTGACTCAGTGTGGTCCTAAGGTGTGGATCAGTGTGGTTCTATGGTGTGGATCAGTGTGGTCCTATGGTGTGACTCAGTGTGGTCCTATGGTGTGGATCAGTGTGGTCCTATGGTGTGGATCAGTGTTTTCCTATGGTGTGGATCAGTGTGGTCCTATGGTGTGACTCAGTGTGGTCGTATATTGTGGATCAGTGTGGTCCTATGGTGTGGATCAGTGTGGTCCTAAGGTGTGGATCAGTGTGGTCCTATGATGTGGATCAGTGTGGTCCTATGGTGTGGATCAGTGTTTTCCTATGGTGTGGATCAGTGTGGTCCTATGGTGTGGATCAGTGTGATCCTATGGTGTGGATCAGTGTTTTCCTATGGTGTGGATCAGTGTGGTCCTATGGTGTGACTCAGTGTGGTCCTATATTGTGGATCAGTGTGGTCATATGGTGTGGATCAGTGTGGTCCTAAGGTGTGGATGAGTGTGGTCCTATGCTGTGACTCAGTGTGGTCCTATGGTGTGGATGAGTGTGGTCCTATGGTGTGGATGAGTGTGGTCCTATGGTGTGGATGAGTGTGGTTCTATGGTGTGGATCAGTGTGGTCCTATGATTGGGATCAGTGTTGTCCTATGGTGTGGATGAGTGTGGTCCTATGGTGTGACTCAGTGTGGTCCTATGGTGTGGATGAGTGTGGTCCTATGGTGTGACTCAGTGTGGTCCTATGGTGTGGATCAGTGTGGTCCTATGGTGTGACTCAGTGTGGTCCTATGGTGTGGATCAGTGTGGTCCTATGGTGTGGATCAGTGTGGTCCTATGGTGTGGATCAGTGTGGTCCTATGGTGTGGATCAGTGTGGTCCTATGGTGTGGATCAGTGTGGTCCTATGGTGTGGATCAGTGTCAAGTATGGGTCACCAATTGTGGTTGTGATACTTGACGGAAACCACTTTCATTCACTACACTGTGTAACATCCAAAAAAAACAAAATACAAGGGTGTTACAATATAGAGTTTTTATTTTCTATATCTACAATCCAAAACACAGTGTTATATAGATCTGACAAGACTGCAAATGATAAATGTCTTGCAGCAGCAGTGTTTGCAAGCTTATATACAAAGAGCTATTTCCTCTTTCAGGCAAAATAGAGATGGACTTGTCTTAACCAATTTCAAGCTAGTTCATATATATTCAAGTTGCATAACTGGTACTCTGACCAATTGAGACATTTCTTCTTTCAAATTTCTGTCCTGTTACCAGCACGCAGTTCCAGAATTTTTGGCAAAGATGAGTTCATTTCTATAGGGACTGATTCAGTTACATGAAGGCAGTTCCAGAAGCTTTGGCAAAGATAAGTGACCTACAAATACTCAGGAGAAAGACATCCCAAAATGTACAGTAAAATTACACCAACTCCCATTTTGGTCTGGACTATTTCACAGCAGTCCTAGACCCCTACAGTCAGATCAAAAGCAACAAGTCACCAGAAATGGGCTTTATCAATTGTGCCCATGTTGGGAATCGAACCCAGGCGTTGTATGCAACATCATGACTACGGAGCGGTGCACATACACGGGGAAGACTCTTCCAAGAATAATCAGAGACCAGTATATATGTCTTAACATTGGAGTCCAGCGTGTCCTCAATCTCTCCATGTACAATACTAGTCAGGACCATCATATGTTTTACCATGAGATTCAGCCATTTTCTTCCAGCTGCTCTGACCCATGTCAGACTGAGAATGCCCAAGCAACAAAAGCAGGCTTTGTCTCTGTTACACACATGCGTGGCACAATGCAAAGGCAGTGTTCGAAATACCTGCCTGCCCGACCGTCCGAGACGGGTTGATTTCAACTCGGGCTGCCAGATTTTCAAATTCCCCTGCCCGACGGTTGGGTTATATTTCATATGTAAAAAATATTCTAAATATTTCCCGATGATAAGCATTAATTCACATGTAAAGATGAATGATAAAATGTAACCAAAAAGAAACCCCGTTAGCTTATCCTGAGAAACATATGATTATAGTGGGCAGGCAGGTTTTGTTCAGGGCTGGCAAGTATTTCAGGTAGCCAGTCCTGTGGACTGGCTGAAATTTTTGGGAGTTTCATACCCTGGCAAAGGGATTTAATATGACCATTGGTTGAGTAGGATGTTTTGTGCATGCGTCATATTTAGAGTTTATGTCACTGTGCCCATGCAATACATTAGTTATCAGTTACTGGACCTACCTTGTGCAACAGCGTGAGGTATTCACCTTTTGCAATGGACAATGGACGAAAACAGCATTGTGCCATTGACATTAAGGTTAGTTAGTGCTTAAAATGTCCTCTACCATCCCATGACAATATAGAAAATGGCTCTGCTTGTAAAAATACCTACACAAAGGTGTGTGATGATTTTATAGACAAACATGGCCGCAAATAATTCTGCACTATATGATAAATGGGTGTGATTCACTCAAACAGTGCATTCATACTCGGTTTCTTCACTGAGCGAAATTATGTCTTAAACATGCACTCTTCTAAATTATTTTAAGAATGACATGGGATAAAGAGACTGCTACCATCACATGTTTCTGTATCATCAACAAGGAATCAAACAGATGCATGATGCTTGCTTATCTGAATTACCTGGACATACCTCTGCACTAGCTGCTATTCAGTGGTAGTCGTTGGGATTTCATTGTAGTTAATGTGGACATTAAGACAAGGATTTATCTAGGCCTGCTCAGAGGCCGATATTTGGCTCCAAGTCTGAAGCAAATGACAACAAAAATTCCCAATTTGAATTTACAATTCCCATTTCTAAGAATTGACGAAAATAAGGACATAATTAAAATCCAATTTAAAACAACAGTATTTGACATAATAAGCGCCCACGGCGATATTTGCTAATCCCAATAAGCACCCCTTCCGATTGATCAATATATGCACCCTTAATTATGGGCAAATACATTCTGGAAAATATATCTGTCGTGTATAATACCCACAGACTTTTCTTTTGTATCATTTCAGGCTTACAGCACAAACCACGAAATTTACGATCTTCCAACTCTGTTTTCCTTCTCACCAAAATTATATTCTGATAAGAGCCCCCTATTTCTAATTTTGAGAGTGCCCTAAGCGCTTTTTACGTCAAATATGGTATTACAAATTTTTTTCCCATTTTGTCTGGCAGGTGCACATTCTTTGGAATTCGAGATAAATCCCTGTTAAGACACAACGATTGTATATCACAGATGTCATGCATTAACAAATAACAAGCATATATAATTGACAAAAACATTTCTGAATATACATATATTTTGATCAGGTTCATACAGTTTCTGTTGCTGATAATAATGCCTTATCTCAATCTCATTAAAATCTGATCTGGTAAGAGACGCTCTGATTGGTTGGATGAAAGGTCGTTCTGACGTGACCAGTAATAAGATGTCCTCAGATCTTGTATAGCGATAGCGAGAACTTAGATATGATTTTAATGAGATTGGCATTATCTGGAAGATGTACCACCATCGCTGGGTACCAACAACCTCACTGTGAGCAAAGGTACAGCAAGTGATACTGCACTCACATTACATGAAGATACTCAGCAATGCAATTCTGTAAAGAATATACTGTATATGACCACAGATAAGCCAAATTTTGAGGACCAGAAAAAAGATTCTGCAGAAAGATGTTGGCTTATGTATCGGTTACACTTTCATCAAACTCTTTTTCTGTTTGTAAAAAATCTGCATCGTATCATTTCAGTTGAATGAACAATGCTATAACAAACTTTGTCAATGAAAATGTGGAATTTGCGATTAAACATCACTAGACATGATGATTTACCATAACCGACTTATCTTTGGTCATATACGGTAGTGAAATGAAATCACGGATTTGCTGAAGCAGTTTTCACATCACTATCAATATCAAATCCCAAACTGGTGTATTCATTGTTCAGTCATGACCTTAAATTCAGATCTCCAGATAACTTTTTGAGCAATTGAGTTTTTACTCGAAGGTTTCTATTTTATTTGGGTTATTACATTTTTCATTGCATAACCAATATTTTTTCACTTATCTATTCATCACTCTATTTGGTTTTTCCCAAAATAAGGGAAACATTTAAGATTTAAAAAAATGAAATAATGTTTTTGATGTATATAACTGTTCTAAATATATGCTTGACTCGGAAAGTATATTAGCTTGTAACTGTGTTTCAGAAATTAGTTCCGTTGTATGCATGCTGAAAAAGCTTCATTGAGTATGTATTTGCAGGTTTTATAAACATTTGAGTTTTTCGCTGAATGATGTGCTTCAGTACGCAAGTTAATTGAAAGTGATTGGGTTTTGAATATTTTTAGTGGGTATTTTATGCAGCTTATCAGTAGCTCAGCTTTCACTGAATGAACATTTTACTCTTTCTTCAGGAACTCATGGCACAGCTTAGTATTTTATGGAAGGTTGTATTGCCTTGACATGACATGACATTCTATCATGACACATGGCCAGCAAACATGACATTCTATCATGACACATGACCAGCAAACATGACATTCTATCATGACACATGGCCAGCAACCATGACATTCTATCATGACACATGGCCAGCAAACATGCCATTCTATCATGACACATGGCCAGTGAACATGCCATTCTATCATGACACATGACCAATGAACATGACAGTCACAAGCCTCTAAAATGCACTAAATGTATCATCTTGTGCTATTTTCCTAACCACATATAAACTTGATGTTTGTCTGTATTTTACTAAAATTGTTTCTGTCATGGATAGAATAACTATTGTGATATGAAAGAAACAAGCTTTATACACTGTGATATACGGTAGTTTGAGCACAGACGTCAGATCATGCTACATCAATGGTATGTTTGAGCTCAGTCACAACTGAAATGTTATGAGTTGACCACAATGGGTACGAATACAAAGAATAACATTATAAATGCATAACAGGCTATATACAACTTTTCATATTTACATTGCAGTAACCCTAAAGAAGTATGACTATGAAATAACAAAAGCTGCTGCTAAATTAAACTACACAATGACACTATGGTTCGGGTGAGCTAAAGGACTTATTGCCCTATAAGCTTCGTATGTGTGGCCATCTGTGGTGTGTTTGTAATCTTGGCATGACTGGATGGTAGTTAATAGCTGAGAGGAAGAAGAGGCCATCTAACTCACATGAAGCCATTACGATGCAAGCATAAAGACAATACCCCTATGCTAGGCCCCCGAAAAAAAGTATTGTTTCTGGTCCCTGAACGTGTTCTGCCTTTTCATTTAACCAAGGGCAGGTTACTCTAACCTGCTTTAATGAAAAATGAAAGTGCAGTCACACAATGGAACAGGTGCTTTTAGTCTGTATTTTTTTGAACTGACAATAAACATGTGTTCATTGATGTATCATTTTAGGTCAAACCAAAAGACTAGAGACACAATCTGTTTTTTTTGTGGCTTTACATATGTCTGAGCAAAGTTGAGGTGCTGCTGCTTGTGATTGTCTGTGCAACATGGTCGACAATTGTCCCAGGGAGTCTGGGAGTGTGTTGTGGCATAGAACTTCTGCATTTATTTGACAATCTATTCATGTTATTTAAAAGTGAACATGTCCTCAGGAGAATCCCAGACCTCCTCAGATCCCTCCAGAACACGAACTGGTGGTCCGGCCTAACTCTACACACACCAGTAATTCCAAGGTACTGCCTCCAAGACCTATTGATGCTGTCTAACAAGAAGGCATAGCTCTGTAACACCCAAGAAGAATCCCACACCTCTACGGATCCCTCCAGAACAGAAATTAGTGGTCCTAACTCTACACACACCAGTAATTCCAAGGTACTGCCTCCAAGACCTATTGATGCTGTCTAACAAGAAGGCATAGCTCTGTAACACCCAAGAAGAATCCCAGACCTCCACGGATCCCTCCAGAACAGAAATTAGTGGTCCTAACTCTACACACACCAGTAATTCCAAGGTACTGCCTCCAAGACCTGTTGATGATGTCTGACAAGAAGGCATAGCTCTGTAACACCCAAGAAGAATCCCAGACCTCCACGGATCCCTCCAGAACAGAAATTAGTGGTCCTAACTCTACACACACCAGTAATTCGAAGGAAATGCTTCCAAGAACTTTTGATGCAGTCTGACAAGAAGGCACAGCTCTGTAACATTGTTTCAGTAGTGTTTGATTCAGGTCAGTATGTCCTCCCCCACACACATGCTGTCCTCATCTGTCCTGCCTGGTCTCAGTGGTGGCAGTCAGCGTCATTGTCAGCATCTGCTGGATGTGCTTCAGAGGGTGCCGCTTCAGAAGTCCCGGCTGCAGTAAAAGGTTTAGCATGACATCATTACAAAAATGGCTTCAGGTTGGGTGGGGCGAGGTGAAATGGGATGAGGACAGACGGGGCTGAGGAGAGGTGGGGCGAGGAGAGGTGGGGCAAGGAGAGACGGGGTAAGGAGAAGTGGGGTGAGGAGAGTTTGGGTAAGGAGAGGTGGGGTGAGGAAAGACGGGGTGAGGAGAGGTGGGGTAAGGAGAGATGGGGCGAGGAAAGAAGGAAGACAGGGAGAGGTGGGGCAAGGAAAAATGGCGCAAGGAGAGGTGGGGCGAGGAAAGATGGAGCAAGGAGTGGTGGGGCAAGGAGAGACGGGGCAAGGAGAGGTGGGGCAAGGAGAGGTGGGGCGAGGAGAGGTGGGTCAAGGAGGGGTGGGGCGTGGGAAAGGAGAGGTGGGTCAAGGAGAGGTGGGGCGAGGAGAGGTGGGTCAAGGAGGGGTGGGGCGTGGGAAAGGAGAGGTGGAGCAAGGAGAGGTGGGGCAAGGAGAGGTGGGGAAAGGAGAGGTGGGGCAAGGAGAGGTGGGGCAAGGAGAGACGGGGCAATTTTTTATAGTGCTAAACCAATGAGATACCATGCCATGATTATGATATGAATACCCCATTTGAGACACATTACGTTTGGTATTTCCCGCATATTCTCACAATCCTCACATCGGTCACTCTACCTTATCTGTGTAGCCCAGCTACATCTATAGGGAACAACTTACTGGACACTTCCCTCTCAAAAATAACGTTGTCCAATATATGACGTCATCAAGTTGTGAGCGCATATTCGAATCTCCAGAAGTGACGTCATGATAGAACAATGTTTTATCGTGAAATACACCATGCCTCGTTCTTCGACGTTCTTTGAGATATATCTGAATTACCATGTACAAATAAAGCAGGAGACCTACCTGCCAACACGCTTGAAAAATATCTGGCCACCTGACGAGGTCCTTGGCTATAGGCGGCACCTTGCCTTGAAGCTGTAAAACAGACATGGCAATTGTGTCATACCTCAGACTAATAATAGGACAGTTAGAGTGCAAGAGTGAGTTTGGCATTACGGCGCTTTTAGCAATATCATGACGGGGGACACCAGAAATTGGCTTCACACATTGTACCTATGTCGGGAATTGAACACTGGCCTTCAGCATGACGAGCAAATGCTATAACCACTAGCCTACCCCACCACATAGGACGGTTAGAAATAACTAAATAATCTTGAGTGTGGCGTTCTCCAGATAAAAATGATAAGCGGCCACTCTGAACACAGGACAGAGATCATTGCTGAGGACAGACCTAAGTTCAACATGCACCTATGTTGAAGTGTCTGTTCGGAGTCTGAGCTTGAGTGAAGATACTTTTTCACCAGTCCAATATTCAAGGTATATATATGGGCAGCAGTCTGTCTGGACCAGACAAATCCGTGATTGACACTACACAGGGATGCTAACCCTAATGGAGTGAGTGAGTGAGAGTATGGTTTTACGCCGCTTTTAGCAATATTCCAGCAATATCACGGCAGGGGACACCAGAAATGGGCTTCACACATTGTACCCATGTCGGGAATAGAACCCGGGTGTTCAGTGTGACGAGCGAACGCTTTAACCACTAGGCTACCCGACCCCCCCGAAACCTATGGAAGCTTCAGAGTAATCAGTGGGGTGAAAAAGAGTTATAGAAACAGTCCCATGATGCAGGTTTGGGCTTCATTTTTGGTTAAGGCCTAGACAAAAGTGAAGTAACACATGGTAAAAGCTCCACACTTTCATAGGGGCGGTCTGGTAGCCTTCAGATCTGATTTAAATGAGGTGAGGTGAAATTGGGTTTAACGTCGCGTCCAAGATTATTGCACTTATATAGCGACGTGCATGCACGTGTATGTGTGTGTGTGGCTGCTTGTACTAGTCCGGACTGATGCCGATTTATAGTGCTAGCTCACTGAGATACCATGCCGCAGTTTAACATGAATACCCCACTCAGACACAGTATACTGACTCCGAGCCGACCAGTCCTTGCTTTAACCCCTTAATGCCGAGCGCCAGACAGGGTAACAACAAGTACAATCTTTTAACGTCTTTTTGTATGATACGGCCCGGGATCGAACCCTGGACCTTCCGCTCTCCGGGCGGACGCTCTACCACAAGACCACGGAGGCGGTCAGATTTAAATGAGATTGTAGTACACAACAATTTGCTCTCCATGATATTTTAAGCATGTTAATAATTTCATGAAAAAAATTTGGGTAAGGGCACTGACAAAATCGGAATGTTTGGTGTCATTTTGCCACAATGATCAACGCTGACCACAAGCAATTGACCAAGTCACTGAGTCTGACCACCCAAACCTTTAACGACCAGCATAGGGAACTATATAGGGCTGGGACGAGTCCAAATTTACTACCCGGGTACCCATCCCCTATTACACGACCCTACCCAGGTACCCACTGTAGGTCTCAGGAGATGTCTCAAACTGTCCGACTGTGAACTTGTAACATGTGTAATAAAAGTTCCTAATTTTATTCCCATTTCCTTGAACTCAAGTTTATTCTGGGTTCATTGTACAAAATGAAAATTTCCTTGACAGACCACCAAGATTTGTTGCAGCCACAGGTCAAGAAGACACTGCCGCTCATAATGACTAACAAGGATCCATGTCGGCGAGGTTGTACAAAATGCTGTACCTTCTTCCACACGGCGTCTCTAGTTTCGTGGCGGTAGCGGTACCAGATCTTGTGTCCCATGGTGAGTTCATGCAGCAGACAGCCACAGCCCCAGGAGTCCGACAGTGTGCAGACACTTGGCACTGGCCCCAGTAGCTGAGGGAGAGAAACATAGTCATAACTGCTGGAATAGGGTATCAGGCATGAAATACTCATATCGTTCACCAATATGACATGTCTGGTTGTGTGGAAGGCAAGAAATATTGTATGGTTTTCAAGATCTGCTCCGGAAACGAGTACTACTGCCATTTTCTGTCTAAGTCGAAGTTGTTGCTATGGAAACTCGGAATTTTTTTTTTTCAACAATCCGAAACTATCAAAAGGCACCAGTTTACCACTAGACCTATCTATGTGCCAAGTTTGGTGAAGTAATATTGCATGGTTTTCAAGATACGCTCCAGAAACAGGTACTACTGCCATTTTCTGTCAAAGTCATGTCATTGCAATGAAAAAATGAAAATCATTTTATTTAAAAATCCAAAATTATCAAAAGGCACCAGTTTACCACTAGACCTATCTATGTGCCAAGTTTGGTTAAGATATCTCTCAAAATTTTTGAGTTCTGCTCTGGAAACGAAACATGACGGATGGACAGAAGGACCGACAAACAGCACCCATTCCTGTATCCCCCTTCCACTTCGTGGCAGGGAATAACAAACTCTCTCTGACACAGACATATTATCACGAAGATGGATTTCCACGACTGGTTAAACGAGGGTCATAGGGCGTGGAGTCTTCTCACAGACCAACATCCATACCCTGTCAGCTTGCTCACAGGGTTGTTCTCTTTGGCCATGTAGACAAAGCATACAAACTCAGATCAGAAGGTTGGTGGTTTGAATCCCATCACAGGGCTCTGGTCAAGCTCCTTCCCAGCGCGTGACACCTTCGTTACACTCTCAGTAACATCGCTGCCACCAGTGTGGGCGCGGCCATTACAAGAATCTTGAAATTTGCCCTCTAACCCCAAATGTAGTGACGTTCATACTTTCGTTTATGTCTTTGGGAATGCCATCATAGTTAATTTTGAAACGGTTTACGATTGACCACGTTTTCCAGATGAATTAACTTTGTTGTTTGTATAATCAGATTGGTTCGAAATTACAGAATATCAACTAATTTCTCCCTTACTATATCAATGACATGATAGATTTAATGAAATAGAAATTCAAATCGACAAACAAAATAAGTAATTTAGCAGGGGAAAGTGTATTCGGCGCCACGACAGTCATCACTCGTTTGTAAACATAACGGTCATTTGGTTGCGAGTTCAACTCATAGCATGGTTGTGGCCACCTATTCACAGTGGGGAGCTTTGACTGAGCTCCCCGACTGGGCTATCGGTGTGAGGAGCTTGGCCTCTGGTATTTTATGGTCGCTACACAAGCAAATATTCAGATTTCCTTATTCGGCCTAGATGGGATCTTTATGAAGTCACATGACCAAACCTCAGCCTCACAGTAGTTTATGGTCTAATAACTACAGTAAACTACTTTTATAACAAACACGCTTACGAACTGCTGGACATAACAAATTTCTTTTGGGTCCCGGCCATTTGCTGTATATATGCTGTACATATGCTTATAACAAACTATGGCTTACAGTATAACTATGGTTATAACAGTAGTTTACTGTATATTGGTGTTGGTTAAACAACCCACTGCCTTTGTGTTTGTTTCCAAAACCTAAAAACAACCTTAGGCCAGACCCACTAACAGACAAATGTGTCTTGATTGGCTGATAATAGAATGGGTGGGACTTGTTTTTCATTATTGTGCCGATCGATGTCACTTATTTCGTATAGTAAAGTCTGAAGGCAACTTTGTCGATTTCCATATTTTAGGGCATACTCGCATCACAAATGCTTGACCAAAATGAAATTTAAAAAAATGGAAATAGCGTTAAAAGGACAAAAATAAATGACAGCCGAAAACGACCCCCAAACGAAAACTTTCGCCACTAAGGGGAATCCCCTTACTGCGCAATTTCAACGATCATGAAGATCAGGCCAAGGTCCAGACCGCCTGACTCCGCCTTAGTAATACTTAATAATTTACAGGTTTTTTTCTGTATGTGCATCTATTTGATTACCATGTTTCTATTTTTGTATGATAAACAGAAATAGCAGAAACAGTATATGTATATGGCTCATAACCAAAAGATAGATGTACGAGGCAAACATCAGCCAATGAAAACAGTTGTCACTTCTATGAAGGTCGATTTAGGCCACGCCCCCAATAGGTTTGTTTTGGAAGCCGAATAAAGTCCTTGTTTTATTTTCTTAATGCCAAATTCTAGGCAGGGAAACAGGTACAATGATGAGGACGGGGATAGAACCACCAACCTTCCTCTCTCCGGGCACATCTATTAGACCATTGAGGCGTTCCCGGGTTTATTACACAAAAACGGCTAAACTGTGTGAAATTAACGGACAGATGAACGCTAATATGATCACACAACCTCTTCTGGTCGATGAACGGTTAAGTCAAAACATTTAACCAATGGAAGATGTTTATTGAAACCTAAGACCATGTTATCAGTCTGTTGTAAACTAGCAAGTTAGAACCTACCTCTGGTGGCAAGATGGCTGCAGGCAGTGCATGCTTCATCCCTCCATAGTCCACAGCGTGGGACTCCAGGTTCGCTGACACTGACAGGTTGGACACCTTGGCCACCTGACGTGTCTCATCCAGCAAAATGTTGCAAGCTGAAAACAAACATTGTTTTTTCAGCAATATGTGTAAACAAGGGTTATTTTAGTTAACTAAAATGGGAGTAGTCTCCCTTGCCCTGAAGGTTGTTATCTGCCACAAGCTACAGCATTCGTCACCACTCGCCCCTTTCCGTGACCTGCAAGAAGACTCTTATCCCTGTCGATGAATGTTATGTGCGAAAATACAACAAACCAATCAGAATGTGCGTATGATTTCAAGTTCTTCGTCAAAGAACCCTCAGAAATAATTTTTGATTTGACATATGTTTGGCATCTATAAATATACCCAAGGCACAGTGAAATGTGTTCAATCATAGTGTATAATTCCGCATGTCCAGATGTGCTTTAAATTGCATCTGAAATATATATAATATATTGGGAAATATATGTGACCTATTACGCAACGAGTTGACAACTGTTTCAGGTATGCCCGTTTGCGCTAAGACGGAACCTGGTCGCAATAATGGCCATGAGAGGGGCACGAGTCGCTATTTGGCTTGTCCAAGAATAACACGAGTTGGTCACGAATGAAGCTACAGTTCTTATTACCTCCCTTTGCTAAAAGAAAGTGTTTTTACAATTAGCCATTGACATGCTCGCATGCAAGCAGTTAAACTTTGCCTGAAAATAACCCTTTAGACTGAACATTATATTACTTGTAAAGACATGAGATTGATACTGATAAAACACAATTGGGCACAATACCCATTGATAGCCAGCTTGGAGTTGTTGTACAATTAACGTACAACATGATAAACTCCCAGCGCCTACTATAGCAAAACTAAGAAACCTTAAAGTTTGAAGTAAAACAACAAAGAAAGGACCGTTTCAAGATCCAGTCTTAGACTGAATCTTAGTTAAGCAAAATCTTAAAAACTTAAGACAAAATTTGGCTTAGCAAAATAGATCACTTTCATGATCACGGGGCCAGATGATGACATATCCCCCCCACCCCCCCTCCATTATATGCTGGGGGGGACAAGTGTAATACAGAGGAGAGTGAAGGATGCATAGCATTTTGGGGACCTCCTGCGAGTGTGTAACCCCGCGTCAAGTTTGTGGCTACCATACTTGTTTGGTCTTCAGCAACCCATGCTTGTTGCAAGCGGCGACTAATAGGATCAGTTGGGGTAGATGTCTGTCTGTTACCGTGACAACACCCCCCTACTGACCTGTCCAGTTGATGTAGGTGATCTGTCTGTCATGCAGTGCCAACACTGCCTACTGACCTGTCCAGTTGGTGTAGACGATCTGTCTGTCTTGCAGTGCCAACACTGCCTACTGACCTGTCCAGTTGGTGTAGACGATCTGTCTGTCGTGGAGTGCCAACACCCCCTACTGACCTGTCCAGTTGATGTAAACACTGTCTGTCGTGCAGTGCCAACACCCCCTACTGACCTGTCCAGTTGATGTAGACGATCTGTCTGTCATGCAGTGCCAACACCCCCTACTGACCTGTCCAGTTGATGTAGGCGATCTGTCTGTCATGCAGTGCCAACACCCCCTACTGACCTGTCCAGTTGATGTAGGCGATCTGTCTGTCATGCAGTGCCAACGCCCCCTACTGACCTGTCCAGTTGATGTAGGCGATCTGTCTGTCGTGGAGTGCCAACACCCCCCGGATGATCTGCTGCATATAGTTGACTGTTGTCTTCCAGGCCAGCTTTTTCTTCGTCTCTCGTAAAACCTGCCGCAGACTTCCAGCTGTAACGTGAAAGACTTCGTGTTAGAGGGAGCCAAGAGAACACACACAACCTAAATCAGTCCAACATTGACTTAACAACTCAAACGTACTGATGACTTCAGCAAGTTCCGTCAAAAGTTCGAAAAAGCTGTAGAGAGTCCTTCTAAAAGATGTAAACCTGTATGACACATGCTGCAGTCAAAACACTCCTCCTCGGTTTAATTGAAAACGCAAAACCTTGATCAGGAAAAACATGGAATTTAAAGCATCTTGACTACATTCGAGGTTGAACAAAATGAAGGCCTCGTTAAAATAATAGAATGATGTCACTATAGGTTCACAAGGTAAACAAACTAACACTGTAAATATCATTCTGGGCAATGCTCCACATAACAACAGCATCTTTTGTTCGATACTGCATACACAGTGATGTAGATTGTTTATCACAGCACTTCAAGTACACATAAATAAAGTGCTTCCCCAAAAAAACTCTTATATTTAACATAAATAGGGCATGTTTCCGCGTATTTGATACTATTGAGTGGAATGTGAGGTGTAAATCATTTTAATGTTCAATCTCAGTTAACTCAGGGAGTTATCTAGACCTGCTCAGAGGCAGATATTCAGCCAAAATCTGCAGCAAATAAAGGTAAAAAATCCCAAGTTGAATTTAGAATTTCCAAATTCCTCAGAAATTATGAACAAAAGAACATAAAAACATCCAATTTTGATCAATATCACAGTCGTTTCTCCAAATGGTCTAACAAGGGTACTTAGTTAAGACCTGAGACAAGTCCCTGAAACGATGACTGGAGGCCAGCCCTTACCTCCCATGAACTGTGTGCAGATGAGGAGGTCCCTCCCTTGTTCCATGACCCACAGATGCTCCACCAGGTTGGGGTGAGACAGACTCCGCATCTTCTCGTACACATGCCACTGATGGTCCAGCTCCAGCAGGGGCATCTAAACACCGGTATACACCCGTTATACAGCATTACAGCATCACAACATCTAAACACCGGTATACACCCGTTATACACCATCACAACATCTAAACACCAGTATACACTCCAAGTGAGATTGTTTCACAACATCTCCAAGTGAGATTGTTTCACAACATCTCCAAGTGAGATTGTTCACCACATCTCCAAGTGTGAGAGTGTTTCACAACATCTCCAAGTGAGAGTGTTTCACAACACCTCCAAGTGTGAGAGTGTTTCACAACACCTCCAAGTGTGAGAGTGTTTCACCACATCTCCAAGTGAGATTGTTTCACAACACCTCCAGGTGTGAGAGTGTTTCACAACACCTCCAAGTGTGAGAGTGTTTCACAACATCTCCAAGTGAGAGTGTTGTGTTCCATACAGATGTAAGCATCAGGTCCTGTACTTCTACATTTCCATGGAAGTCCCCAACACAAATAAAATACGAATAAAATACAAATAAAACCATACTCACTCATTCACTCTCCACATATGAATGCGGATTACCAAAGTTATGACCGAAAGTAAAGCTGGAAGAAGCAAGGAGATGTCTTACCTTCTTCAGAACACTTGGAGCCCTAGAGGTGGGAAAGATGTCAGAAATTAGGACCACGTTGTGGGATTTACTGAGTGGCGATAACACCATCCAGTCTTCTCCTTCACGTACTGGGCCGGTGTACTGGCAGTTCGGACTCAACTGAAATATATGGATCATGTAGGTGAGAGAGTGGCACACTACTGGGCCGGTGTACTGGCAGTTCAGACTCAACTGAAATATATGGATCATGTAGGTGAGAGAGTGGCACACTACTGTGCTGGTGTACTGGCAGTTCGGACTCAACTGAAATATATGGATCATGTAGGTGAGAGAGTGGCACACTACTGTGCTGGTGTACTGGCAGTTCGGACTCAACTGAAATATATGGATCATGTAGGTGAGAGAGTGGCACACTACTGGGATGGTGTACTGACAGTTCGGACTCAACTGAAATATATGGATCATGTAGGACAGCATGAATGTATTGCCTCTACAGTGAGAGAGCCGTACTGGGCCGGTGTACTGGCAGTTCGGACTCAACTGAAATATATGGATCATGTAGGTGAGAGAGTGGCACACTACTGGGCCGGTGTACTGGCAGTTCGGACTCAACTGAAATATATGGATCATGTAGGTGAGAGAGTGGCACACTACTGTGCTGGTGTACTGGCAGTTCGGACTCAACTGAAATATATGGATCATGTAGGTGAGAGAGTGGCACACTACTGGGCTGGTGTACTGGCAGTTCGGACTCAACTGAAATATATGGATCATGTAGGTCAGCATGAATGTATTGCCTCTACAGTGAGAGAGCCGTACTGGGCCAGTGTACTGGCAGTTCCGACTCAACTGAAATATATGGATCATGTAGGTCAGCATGAATGTATTGCCACGGTAGTGAGAGAGTGGCACACTACTGGGCTGGTGTACTGGCAGTTCGGACTCAAATGAAATATATGGATCATGTAGGACAGCATGAATGTATTGCCTCTACAGTGAGAGAGCCGTACTGGGCCAGTGTACTGGCAGTTCGGACTCAACTGAAATGTATGGATCATGTAGGACAGCATGAATGTATTGCCACGGTAGTGAGAGAGTGACATATAATTGCGCCTGTCATACTTTCATGTCTGAACCCTTTTAGGAATAGTTTTATCTTTGGTGATACAGGGTTTCTAAGGAAGAGAATTTATGGATGTCAACTTCTTTACAATGAGAAACCCAATGTTTCTGAATATGCACTTACTCCATCAGGTGAAAGGATTTCTGATAGCATTATCATTTAAAAGCACATATCAAAATGTAACATATTTGTACACAGTACTACACACAAATTTGTATGGATACTGTACAGGGACTAGTACTCAATATCTGCTTATTGCGGCGGAGACAAAGTGAGGCATGTACTCACGCGGAGGAATCGGCCCGGCTCTGTGCTGGTGTCGGTCATCTCCAGGATGATGTCCAGCTGCTGCCGGATCCGGGAGATGGCCTCCATCGGATCCCACGGCTCCCTGCAACATCAACACACGGCATACAAACATCTTATTATATCGTGGGTCGATCATTTTGCTAATTTCCCTGTCAATTACCAATAGGTCTAAAAGGACGATTATACCCGTGAAGAAGTGGGTCAGAATAGATCTTCAGCAACCATGCTTGCTGTAAAAGGAAACTATGCTTGTCTTAAGAGGCGACTAACAGGATCGGGAGGTCAGGCCCGCTGACTTGGTTCATGCATGTCATTGTATCCCAATTGCATGGATCGATGCTCATGATGTCAGTCACTGGGATGTCTGGTCCAGGCTTGATTATTTAAGACCGCCGTCATATAGTTGGAATATTGCTGAGTGCAAGGACGATTACCATTGGTTCATGACAATGGTCCTCAGCTTAGAGACTCTTGCATGAAATCACCCCAGAGTGTGGTTTTGGGCCGCTTTTAGCAATACTGTAAAACGTGAAATTAATGCGTTTCCAAAAGAATGCGACCGCTGGCCCCAAGCCAAAAATGCGACTCAATATGAATGCGACACCCCCTCCTCTCAAGCTTCAGTGGATTTATATCTAAACAAAATGTCCTCTGTCAGGTTTACATGTGAATCCTCACCTTAATCCAGCCTTACATTAATCCAATCACACACCAAATAGCACCGCTTATTAGCACTGAGTAGATTACTTCGCTAAAACAAAACATGCATGCTGGCTCGTGTTGGACCTTGACGCAGTCGCAAAGAACAAAGACACTGTTTGGGTGAGTGACAATTCACAGGATGTAATTAGTGTTTGAATGACAATGTTTATATACTTGTTACAAGTGCTGCTCAATAAACAGTGATGTGGAATACATAGTTGTTTGTTTTCAGCGTATATCTAAGTTGGTATTTCTGCTATCCAAAATATCTTATTGTTGATATAAATGCGATGTTTAATAATGCGAGCCAAGACCACTCGCATTTTTCGCATTTAATTCACGCTCACGTTAATTTCAAGATTTACAGTATTCAAGCAATAGCATGTCAAGGACACCAGAAATAGGCTCCACACGTTAAACCCATGTGTGGAATAGAACTCGGCCTTCGGCGTAATGAGCGAGTGCTTAACCCCACTGCCCCGCAATGCTTAAGGCTACCTGCACATCATTTAGCAAGGTACAGTATGACCAGGGACTCTTTTGGTCGGAGTAGGGGGAGGCTGGGTTTGTGTGACAGAGACAGAAATAGTTTTGGGGTCAGTGTGTCATAACATACTTTTTTTTCCTTTAAGCAAAAGATTAATATTTTACAAATCACTGTTTTATGCAAACATATACTTTTTACAAAATCCTTTTATATGTGACTATTTTTTAATTTTTAAAAAATCCAAACCCCTCCTCCCCGGAATATCAAAAGGTTGGTCCCTAAGTGAGTGTTACCATGGTTACAACAGTGAGAGCTACCTACACATCAATCAGCAGGGCACAGTATGGCATAGGGCACTTGATGTTGTCACATCTTTCTCCATGACATCTCAAGGCCAGCAGAATTGTTTCCTGCTCCTTGTCGAGGCTTGCCTGGACCTGTATGTTGTTCTCAAACATTGTCAGGATTTTCTTGGCCTGAAAATAATCAGAGGCAATCAGCAAATGAGAATCCAAACACTGTGGACCAGGAATTTGATGATATAGTATTGGGAACATATATTGTTTGCTTTCCTCACATCTTCCATGATATCATTCTCAAGAAATTCCAAAGAATGAATATTGAAATGAAATGGGTCAATTCACCAAAGATTGTAGAAGGGCTCAACGTAACAGCCTCTGTCATGACATACTTTCACACAGCCTCTTCCATGACATACCTTCACACAGCCTCTTCCATGACATACCTTCACACAGCCTCTTCCATGACATACCTTTGCACAGTCTCTGTCATGACATACCTTAACACAGCCTCTGTCATGACATACTTTCACACAGCCTCTTCCATGACATACCTTCACACAGCCTCTTCCATGACATACCTTTGCACAGTCTCTTCCATGACATACCTTCACACAGCCTCTTCCATGACATACCTTCACACAGCCTCTTCCATGACATACCTTCACACAGCCTCTGTCATGACATACCTTTGCAGTCTCTGTCATGACATACCTTCACACAGCCTCTTCCATGACATACCTTTGCAGTCTTTGTCATGACATACCTTCACACAGCCTCTTCCATGACATACCTTTGCAGTCTCTGTCATGACATACCTTCACACAGCCTCTGTCATGACATACCTTAACACAGCCTCTGTCATGACATACCTTCACACAGCCTCTTCCATGACATACCTTCGCACAGTCTCTGTCTTCACACATATCTTCTTGGCACCGTGACGCTCTCTCTAGTCTTTCCATGAGTTTATCTCTGAATCTCCAATCAACAGGTGACTTGTCATTCTTGGACACTTGATGATCAATGACCTCTTCCTGTTTCAGGGGAGATAATCCACATATCAAATGGAAATGTTTATGAATATGAAAACAGCTTACTTATTGTACTGTGACCAAAGTAATTATCAAACACCTATCCAAATTTATCAGGCTGAAATAAAACATGGTGATTGAAAATTTCAAAACAATTAATAGATCACAAGTTGAGTTTGTTGAAAGGGATCTGAGTCCTCAATGTGGCTACTCCCTAACACAGCCTAGTCACAAGGTGGGGAGGGGTTCAGAGACGTACCTGGTCCTCAATGTGGCTACCCCCTAACACGGCCTAGTCAAGGTGGGGAGGGGTTCAGAGACGTACCTGGTCCTCAATGTGGCTACTCCCTAACACGGCCTAGTCACAAGTGGGGAGGGGTTCAGAGACGTACCTGGTCCTCAATGTGGCTACCCCCTAACACAGCCTAGCCACAAGCTGGGGAGGGGTTCAGAGACGTACCTGGTCCTCAATGTGGCTACTCCCTAACACAGCCTAGCCACAAGTGGGGAGGGGTTCAGAGACGTACCTGGTCCTCAATGTGGCTACCCCCTAACACAGCCTAGTCACAAGGTGGGGAGGGGTTCAGAGACATACCTGGTCCTCAATGTGGCTACTCCCTAACACAGCCTAGTCACAAGGTGGGGAGGGGTTCAGAGACGTACCTGGTCCTCAATGTGGCTACTCCCTAACACAGCCTAGCCACAACATGCACAAGGTGGGGAGAGGTTCAGAGACATACCATGCATAGACTCGTTAGTCCAGCCAAAATGTAACTCCATAATCCCAGCTTAGTTCGGCAAGGGTGGAAACTGGACTTTTAAAGTCAGTTAACTCTCTTGCCTCGGGAAGATGCAAGGTGGGGAGGTGTTCAGAGACGTACCTGTTCTTCGATGTTGGACAGAACCGGGTAAAAAAAAGATTTGGACAGATCAGGGCTTGACAAGTCTGAAATATTCAAGAAATCAATGACAACCACAAGACTAAAATCCATTTGTATGAATATGTATCACCCCAAAATTATCAACATAGAAAATGTCATCATAGATGAGGTTAGTCGCCTCTTACGACAAGCATAGTTGTCTTTCATGAAAAACATGAGTTGCTGAAGACCTATTCTACCCCGGATCTTCACGGGTCTGTATCACTATAACCTCAGACTGAGGTTTACTACCCATAGGGGAAGAAATAACTGAGTTCATAAATATTGTATGTGCACCAGTGAAAATGTCACTTTACGTGCACTGGTGTATGTATTATTTACGTCATCTGGACGGCATTGTTGACGTGATCTTATTGTGACACAAGGTCGGAAACTAGAAATGATTTCATAGCTGGAGATCGTCGACGTTATTCGACAATTGTGGTTTTCTAACATGGTGGTCTAAAAAGGAGTTCAAAATGATTAAGAAATAATGAGTGATGTATTTTAAAATCATGGGTGAACAACCACCAATCATTCCACTTTTTGTGAGCGAGGAATCCCGCTGGGGGTCCCTCCACACACAATCACCTAACTAAGGACAGGATCCTGTCAACTGGGTCACTTACTTGCCACCCATTTGATTTGAAGACTAGGAGACGGGGTAGAACTGTCAGACGGCACAAGCATCTTGTTCACATGACTCAGAATGGTGTCCACATCTGCAGGAGTGTCATCTAGTGTCATCAGGTACTTCTGTAACAGCTCATGTGATGGCTCATTCCGGTAAATTCCAAGACTCCCTGATGCCAAGGCTGCAGCGTTATTTGGCAAACAATAATATGGACATATTTGGGGGTCGTCTCTCTTCATGCAATCGTCCAGAACCTTTAAGTCATAATTTAAATGGTTGCCAACGTCAACGGGACTGTTTTCTTCGGAGTATCCCCCCACAGCGCCTGGGGTTAGATCTTCCGGAACTGTTCCTGAAGCTATTCCTTCTTGTGTCAAATCTGATGGTAACTGAAAGCTTCCAGTGCTTTTCTCCAGCAAATCAAAATTTGGTACATTGCCCTTGTTCTCATCTTCACAACTGTTCTTGATGGAGTCGCCAAAACCATCCACATATAATGAAGGATTGTTAACACGGTTTAAACTTGTAGTCACAACTGTTGAATCGGATTGAAAAATACTCAAACAAGGCAACATGTCCGCTTGACCTGCACTGGTCAATGTGTGGTTATTTTCCTCCAAGGTGGGGAACTCCTCTTGATCGACACTATTGTCTGTTATCACTGAGTCACTGAAGTTAGTTTGATCACTGAGCTGAGACTGTAGTGAGCCTTTAGAAGAGCTGCCAGTTCCGTATCCACTCGACCTGTGGCGAAAAAACTGACGAGCTTCTTCACCCTGGGGTGAGAAAAGATTCTGATTTTGACTTTTCTCTTGTGGGATGTCGTAAACTGTAGCACTTTCATGAAAACTGACCGACCTCTTGATACTGTGCTGCAAGCTTTTGCCATTGTACACTTTCCCCTCAATTTCCACTTTGTGATTGGACCCTAATGATCCATTGTTGCCAGCTCCTGTATTTAGAATCTCCTCCGACTGAGCTCGCTGTCTCTTCCCAGGGTACAACATGGGTTCCAAGCTCTGCACAATGTCTGGTGAAGGATCATCAGGTGCATTCAGAGACTGCAGCAAGTCTGGCAAGTCTGGGGCACTCTGACTCCACTGTTTCACAAGTCTCTCCCTGGAAACTTTCCGTTTGGAAATGGGTGGCTGATCATCTGAAAAGACACTATCATCACGAGGGAGATTTGGTCTTGGTGAAATAACTGGTATTGACTCTCGTCGTGAGGGGTCATACTCAATAGAGCAGTACCTGTTTTTAGACTCGACAAGTGAAGCCCTCTTTGACTGGAGGTCTTCATCGGTAGATGACCTTGACATTCGGGATGAAACAGGCTCACCTCCTTTTCTTAACTCAGGGGGGTCATATTCTCGCTCCTCACCCATTTCATTAATATGTGTCAGATCATTTCCATCAGCGCCACTAGGCAAACAGCTTCTATTTTCTTCACTGTAATACTCCGATGTTTCATTGTCCGAAACCAGCATCTGTCGGTCATGTAGGTCATCCTTCAACATTTCTCTAACAGAGTCCGGAACATCAAACTGCCCTGAAGCCGGAACATCAAACTGCCCTGAAGCCGGAACATCAAAATGCCCTGAAGCCAGAACATCAAACAGCTCTGAAGCCGGAGTTGACATGGCCTTGTCATCTGACATGGCCAAACAGGGCTGAAATGTTGGCACCGGATTAGCAATGGTCTGTCTCCCAGCAATCAGGTTTCTTGCAAGTTGCTGTGGTATTTGTGTCAAGTTTCTTTGGAGGTTGCTGTTTTCAAATGCGAGGACATCTGCATCAGTTTCGTCAATGGATACGTAACTTGGAGGTCCCTCCTCCTCCGAAGCAGACATAATCCCGCTTTACATGCCGACACACTCTCTCTGTTGTACAAGGGTGTGTACATCTAGTGATGGCACCATGTCATGTTGTGGACGACGGGGGCTGGCTTCTGGCTCCTCTTGTTAATGTGTGAAACTGAGCAGGATCCATTAATCTGGAAAGAAACCGTCACAGTCAGAAAGTGTTCCATCATTTTTACTTTAATATCAATTTTAAAAACATTTTTCACTCATACATTTTTATTAGTTCTTTGATTATATATATATATATATATATACACACACAGATTTGAACACACTTTCCTTATATCATTTTGCAACTCTGAGTTTCATGCACCCATGGTATTGCGTACGATCATCAGGCATAATGAAACATGGTTTTTAGTTTGACCCTTTCTTTTTTGCTCGGCTTGGGGGTATAACATGGCGACAGGTGGAAATGAGCTCGCTTCTTTTGTTTAGCTTGTAAGCTGTTAGCATGAGAATCTCGAGCTTCTCTTCCATGCATAGGTTGCAAATCCCTGCTAACAGCTTACAAGCTAAACAAAAGAAGCGAGCTCATTTCCACCTGTCGCCATGTTATACCCCCAAGCCGAGCAAAAAAGAAAGGGTCAAACTAAAAACCATGTTTCATTATGCCTGATGATCGCACGCAATACCATGGGTGCATGAAACTCAGAGTTGGAAAATGATATAAGGAAAGTGTGTTCAAATCTGTATTTATGCTCTTCTTTGTATTGAGCACTCTCTTCTGCAATTGGATCATACTTGTGTGTGTGTGTATATATATATATATATATATATATGTGAAGTGTGCTCATATATATTGAGAAAGACATTGAGCACACTTCACATGTTATGAAAGTTATCAAATGTGTTCATAGGTTCATTTCAGCAACTGTTTATTGGGTCAATATCTATATCTAATTATGAGATAGACATTGAACACACGTCACATGTTATTATGAAAGTTATCAAATGTGTTCATATATGTTCATTTCAGCAAATAAATGCATAAATAAGTCTGAAATTGGACAAAAAGGCGATTTCAGGATTCTCAGGAAATATATTTCTAATACAAGTATTTGAAGATAAGCAAGACTAACTCATCAGATTTTCTTATATGTAGATAACAACAGTATACGGTACAAACAGTTCATGTCGGTCGCAGACTTGCTCATAATTTGATCTTCTCATTAAACAAGGCTGAAAAAAATAATAGTCTTGGTTCTCTGGCACCGCAGCATCATCATTTAAAAAAAATCAAAAGAATCTTTAAAAATTCCGCATCTCGAACACACAACCCTGGGGGTTAAATGCTACTATACTTAAGAACAACATGATTTCCCTGAAATAATTGTAAACAAAATTTGGTTACATACTAGCTTGAACAACCACAAAAAAAATCAACAACACCGCAAAAAATTCAAAAGCCATTGCCTGAAAACCATTTCTACTATTTTTTTAAGCCTAATCTGCCTTTTCCACTCATGTTAGCTATACATGGTAATTAATCATACCAGGTCCTAAACTTGCAAGTGTAAGAAATAAAAAGGCAAGCTTTCAGCCATTTAAACATGTCCGATAATGTTACAAGAATTCATTCCAAGTTTTCCGCAAAGGTTAATCTGGAGAAATTGACTGTGAATGGCAACATCAAGATTACTTTTCATTAGTGTTGTAACTATTCACCGATACCTATGTTATCATCCATGGGCGGATACAGAGGGGGGGTGCGGGTGCGCGCACCCCCACCTTTTTATTTCGAAAAAAATCTTTATTTCTGTATAAATTACCACCAAAGACAATAAATAGATCTTAATTGTGCACCCCCCTTTTAAAAAAAGCTGTATCCGCCCATGTCATCGATACTTAGGTACACACGATACTTGAATCGTCGGTTTGTGAGATTGCGAGACACTATAAATAGAACAGGAATTAATAGAGTTAGCTCCCTTTATAATGACAGAAGCAGCACAGCTCCACCTGTATGCATGGCAAACACAAGGACGTGGTAGCTGAGGACGTGGTAGCTGAGGACGTGCCGACTGAGGACGTGCTGACTGTTACATTCAATGACCATTTATTTAAACCTGTTTCGTTCTTGTGGTTTTCTTTGAGATGTCAATACATAAATGTATGAACATGATGAAGAAAGACGTTATAGAGCTGTATTTCAGTGATTTCATCATTTTTTACTATTTAATGTGATGTATCGTGATACCAGTAGTATTGTGAGTCCACATCGTCATATGAATCGTATCACAAGATACAAGGCAATTCTCAGCTCTATTGGTAATATTTCCTACTAAAAAAACCTTGCACCAAGTTCAAGGTGAAGATCCGGGGTAGAATAGGTCTTCAGCAACCCATGCTTGCCGAAAATGGCGGCTATGCATGTCATTAAAGGCGACTAGCAGGATCGGGTGGTCAGGCTCGATGACTTGGTTGATGCATGTCATCGTATCCCAATTGCGTGGATTGATACTCATGGTGTCAATCACTGGATTGTCTGGTCCAGACTCCACTATTTACACACCGCCGACATATAGCTGGAATATTGCTGAGTGCGGCGTTAAACAACAAGCAAACAAGGTGAAGCTATACTGAAATGGCTATACCCATTGTCTGTAACATATCCTCCTTCCAATATACCACAACCTGCCTGGATGCATCAACTATCACAATAAGACTCCATGCAGATATAAAGTCACGTTTTCAAACATAACAAAACTGACATTCTGAGAGCACTTTTTAGAAAAAACATCACTTTAGCATGATTACTTGGGTATCTATGTACAGTTTCAGCTTCACAGGGTCACAGTTGTTGAAACTGTTGTCATGTGTGATGGATTGACTGATGGCAATCTCTTCCAGGACATCAAAATTTTAACAACTTGGGGTTCAGAGTATGTCTCAAAACATAGGGTATTAAAGTCTCATATCCTACATTGAACTTTTGAACTACTTTCTTAACATACAGTAAACTATGGTAATAACAAACTAAAAGTGAGCACTAATTTCTAGTTCGTTATACCGTATTCGACGTAATAAGTGCCCAGGGCGCTCTCAAAATTTGAAATAGGGGGCTCTTCGTATTAGAATAAAATTTTGGAGTTGAAAGATTGTTAATTTCGTGGTTTTAATGCCAGCCTGAAATGTTTATATACGACAGATATATTTATCCAGAATTTAATTGCCCATAATTAAGGGTGCATATAACACATGAGTGCGTATTATACACGAATAATAAGTCTTGTATACATTGATCAATCGGAAGGGGTGCTAATTGGGATTGTTCACTAGCCAATATATTAGCAAATATCGCTGTGGGCGCTTATTAGAGCGGGGCACTTATTACGTCGAATAAGGTATCCATAGTTCCTTATGAGCATATATACAGCACAAGGCCGTCAGTTCGTTATAAGCGTCTTTGTTCGTTATAAAAATAGTTTAGTGTACTTACAATTATAATTTCGAATGCGTCCTTTTTCCGGAAAATTCAAGCATTTTGCAATATCTGAAAATTTGCACTTTATCACATTTATGGCGAAATATGAAAACTAGTTCTTTTCACTGATGCCTGAATATATTTAAGCTGTTTACAAATCTGTGCAAACCCTGGAGAATCTGCAGAGCTTGTCAGACCTGGTTCTTCCTGAATGAACACACCAGCCAGATGAATCGACACAGCTGTAATCATGACATCACATCTTCATGTATGGAGTAGCAATGCGTCCTGTACACATATGAATGATCCTGATTGTCGACAAAATGCCTACGTTTCCTTCTTTTTGATGTCTGCCAAGATTAGACAAGCCAATTTCACAGAAGTCTGAACAAATCACACGGAAAACCAACGCTTAATGTCACTGACCTCTTCATATCAACATACGATCTCCCACTTCTAGGAAATATAGGTTCCCTAACCACTGTTTTCATAGGTTATGGGTTAGGAGTTGAGAGTTAAGATTTGTTGTCAAATCTTGTAATGGGTAAGAAATTTGTTCATGCAAAGTATTAGATTATGGTCAGAAAACAAAACAAAAATATTTAAATTTTGTTTATATTTGCCGACAGCACTACTTTTGATGGATCTAACTCACTCAGCCACCAAGGCTTCCACAAAAATGAAAGTCCGACAACTGGATCTAGATCACATACTTTGTGTACCTCCCTGACAAGTGTAAATAAGCATGACTCCCATGGCTGAAAGCTATGAACACACAATGCCATTTAGAAAGTGGTCAAATGTAACAAATGTTATATTTTGGACAACACATTCTTAGTAAAGTACAGATTCTAGTACTTTTGGGGGGTTGAGTCCCATCCAGGATTTGAACCCACACTGCTAGAGTGAGGCACCTAATCGCCAGCACACTAAGTGAGAAACAGGTCTCAGGTTAGCGGACTTATGTTAAGTTCAAACCTTGAGTCTCAACCTATACTTTAATCTCAATTATTAAGTGATATAAAACTTGTGTCAGAACCATAATATCCTACACTTCAATAGGACACAATATGACTTCATTGACATTTTCCCTGCATTTCTAAATTTGGACGGGAGGACATTATTAATAGTTGTGTTGAGTGCAGGGCTGGGATGGGAAACTTGGGTACTTGGGTACTCGGGTACACGGGTCGGATACTGAGAAGGCCCCGGGTAGTCGCCTCCAACGACAAGTATGGACACCTTTTACGGCAAGCATGGGTTGCTGAAGACCTATTCTACCATGGATCTTCACAGGCCTCCTCTCTAAGTAAGAGAGTGTGTTTTGTATAACAACATGTTGGATGGTACAAAGATATCGCCAGGATTCCATGCTCTGTAGCAATGTGCGTGCGTGCGTGCCTGCGTGCGTGCGTGAGAGTGCGTGAGAGTGCATGAGAGTGCATGAGAGTGCGTGCGTACGTGCGTGCGTGTGTGCCTGCAAACACATGGGTCTGTGGTTTTGTGCGTGGGTAAGAGGACATTCAGTCAAATTCAGGGCCTTTGGTCAGTAGTCATTATTTTTTTGGCTTCGTACAAAAATCACGCAAATAGCGGAAAAGCTGTCAAGTTTGATCTAAATTGCAAAACATCTCTATGTGAATGCGGATTGTCTGTGTGTAAGGATACATGCGGAAAGTGGTCCTGCTTTCATTTCATTTCATT